GGCAGCCCCGACATGCAATAGCCAGCACCACAACAAGGCAACCAGTCAAAACCTCCCCAATGGAACCAAACCCGCATGTTTTTTACTCTGTAAGTCACTAGCATCGGGCAAAAGGCCATTTAAAGAGCGCCCTGCACAGGCACCGCACGAAGCCACAGGAGGGATGAAGTCTAGGCCACCGACACAGTGCACCATAAAAAATGTAACCTACGGATCCAGAAAATTAGAAAAATGCCTTATTATGAAAAATACCGATGAGTTTGGTATTGGTTGGAGTCACATCAGAATAAAATACTGTACGAGCCTGCACCGGGCACCCCACTGAGGCTCTGGAGGGCCAGCGCTGGGCGCAGGAGGGAACCTCTGCGAGGCAGCACGGAGCAGCGGGGGCCAGAACGAGCCTTTAGCGTGACGAGAATCGATCTGGCCTGAAACAGGCCTTTTTACTAATGCCATGCACAAGTTTTAAAAGTATAAGGAGGGAAACCTTGAAAATTGAACCAAAAACGAGATTTCACAGCATGTAACAACATTCAGCAGGCAGCACGGGACCTATTACAGAGAGTACTAAAAACCACTTATTATACCTGAACATGGCCTCTCAAGTTTTAACCCAGTAGATCTTTTCCTCTGACAGAATAGAAGACTAAAGTGAACCGTTCAAACTACACATTATTAAAAATGACGTTTAGAAACTTCTACATTACCTTTGTAAAATCAGTTAAGAAATGAAACAACACTGTGCTCTCAGCTTATGCTTTTGCACTTGCTGAGAAATAATTTCACTTATCTACATAATGGCCAAGGCACTAAAAAGAAAAGAAGTGATTTGCCTCAAGATTTTTGCGTTAAGCCTTGCCAAAACCAAAGAATCATCTTTTCACCGAGGTGGAGAGAGCCAGCTCCTCAGCCCCCGTGTGCAGAATCAGAGCTGTGCTTTTTGCTGGCCACACTCAAGGCTGGTGTCTAGACCCCCCTCTGGCACGGAGCCTCTGACACAGAGAAGTCCCCAGTGCCCACCCCGCGCACATACCTCCTAAGCACTGGCTTCTCTGTTATCGCAGTTTTACCAAAACTCTCTGTAGCGGTTCTTAGGAAAAATCCCGGTGACTCACCTGGAGCATTTAAATGCCACTGCTCTGCTTGGCTCCCTGCGCTGGTGCTGACACCGCCAGCCCACGGGTCACCCAGCACCACGCGGGCAAACCACAAAACCAGGAGACCCAGCACACGCAGCCTGCCAGCCCGCTTTGGGGGAGAGTCCCTCCCCAGCCCCCCAGCAGAAAACCAGTTCCTCCACCGTTCCCACTGACACAGGACCCAGTCAGGGCCTAACGCTGATGTTTTTCCCTTCCCCTTGGCGCTGGCAAGGAGTCTCTGCAGTAAAGGCCCATTGTTTGCTTTCCCAAGGGCCCAGCAATGCCAGGAATGTCACACGTCCAGCTGCAGGACGCCTGGGTGACAGGAGAGGAGCAGGACAGGGCAGCCTGTGAGGGCAGGTTCCTGTGGGGATACCAGGTCCCAGCGAGGGCATGGGGTGAAGCAAGGAGCAAGGCAGCAGGCAGACGGATTTTCACCGTACAGTTAAACTCCTGGCCAAGCACATTTACGTGCGCCAGGGGCCATACCGGCAGAGCTGAATTATCACGAGAAAAACCCTCTGGCACCTCCTCTCAAACAGCTCCTGGGAACCACATCCCAGGCTAGAGGACGAACATGGCCCGAGAGCTAACCTTCTCCACCCAGGCCCAGAGGAAACCAGGGGCCCCAAGCACGAGGCATCGCAATTCTCTTTCACCCAGCAGAGACCGAGCACCCGCTCGCAGCGACGGCTGTGCCCACTCAGGGGACCCGCGCACATCTGCTGTCCTTCTGAGGAGAGCGGCCAGGCTGTTACCGGCATCTCCTGCAGCCACAGAGGAGGCAGAAGCAGCCTGTGGTTAGGGATGCGGGCAGACAAGCGCAGAGAGCACAGGGGAGCAGGGACTTGGTTATTTTTGGTTTGACTTTTTTTACATCGTATTTATTAAATGAACAGAAGGCTGCTTCTAACTCCCTTCAGCTAACCGCTGCAACGCTACAGCCAAAAAGCTTGGCAGTGCTTTTTGGCAGGGATTTTGTACAATCAAGAACTGTGTGAGCAGAAAACACAGAAGCTACCTCACATAGCTGTCAGCTCACTCTAAGCCTAGCTCGAGAAGATGCTAGAAAAAAAGAAGAAAACCCACACAGAAACTCCTGCAGACGGGCAGAGAGGGGCTAAGAAAGACGGAACTGTTTCGTCCGCGCATGGGAGCAGTGAGTGCGGAGGCGCATCTCTGCCAGGCCAGCGCTCTGCTCCGGGGCGCCCAGGTAAACAGCCGCCGCACAAAGGCCTTACACAGGGGGCAGGCACACATCCCCACGCTACATACTGCTGTCCTTCTTGCATGTATTTTTGGAAAACAGGAAGCTTATTGATTTGTTTGCAGAGGTGGCCAAAATTGGTCTTGGGAGACAGATGTCCTGTTTCAGCACCACGCTTTGGTCTGAATGTTTTATACCACAGTCTTCCAGCTGCTCTAAGGGAAAGACATTTGACCCATTGTACGCTCTTAGCAAGAGTCAGCAGAACGGGGTTTTTTTGCTGTTGAACTCCTCTTGTTAAATTTTGTTGTTGTTAAAGAAAAAGGAAGCTCTGACCTCTCTTGCTGACATTCAGAAGACCACAGTATGAACCAGCATGAACCAAGAAAACATGAGCTTGTGTGGTTTGATCCACTGGTTCTTCTAATTCGACAGCAGTTCATCGCAGTGCTCGCTGCAACAGATGAAGAACAAGCAGGAAGCAGAATCTGAGCAACGATCCTGCAGCTCGAAGGCGACCTACAGGCAGACAATATTTTACCTTGCAGGGACAACTCAGAACCATCTTCTCTGGCATCAGAAGCAACAGATTAATTAATTAACAAATTAAAGTTTCTAGGATGAGGAAATTCAAGGGAAAGCTAGACTAATGTAAAACCAAAAAAAATAACCGATACCGTTTCAAAAGCTTGTTCACAGGTCACTTCAGCTTGCAAACTGTTTGCACTCTTAAATCCGGTACAAAAGCTGGGGGCTCTCTTCTGATTTTTGAAGACTGCTAATCGTTTCTGGTCCTGTGTTAGGGGTGAAGACCCTTTCTGTCCAACAACACACGTTCAAGGCACCTGAAGTTACACTCGCTGACTAAGTGTGACCACAGAAATGAGTTCAAAAAGCTAATCCACTCTCTGGCTGGAGCCACTGGGATAAGCACCCAGCCCTATCCACGTGGTGCGAGCAAGTCCAGGCTGTGCTGCCTGCTGTGTTAGGTGCCTCGGAAAGCACACAGTTAGGATACAAAGCCCTCCAAGTTTTCATTATTTTCTTATTAGTAACTCATTATTTCATTAAAGCTGGTTTAGCTTTCCAATCTGTAAGTCTGCCTCATTCTCTTCTCTCTTCCCTTTGGGGGGCATTATTAGAGAGCACCTCTGCGTGTTCAGTGCCTGGCCCAGCCCAGGTGATGGCTTGCTCACATACCTGAAAACATGGATTCTCTCAGCTCTGCACTGAACAACAGGAAAAAGTTTCAACATATGCAATGACAGCCACGTAGTTATGTGTTGCACATTTTCCAAGTTTTAATAGACACAAAAGTGAGTCCATTGTACTTAAGACACTACAATGATTTCATTCTATTGCATGTCCTGCTCCAATTACATTTCTCCGAGTACAGTATTGAGTAAAAGTTTGGTAGCTTTAAAATGAACAAATGTGTGAAATCTGTAAGTAAAATAAGCAGCAGCAATAATTTTTGGGATTTTATCAAGAATAGCTAACTTTTAGGTAATAAATACATTCCGAGTTGTGGTTTTTGCTGTTCTCCTAGTTCACTGCCACAGGACTTGTCAAATTCTCATTCTAAGTCCTTAAGACTTTCCCGCCAGCCTCGCACCAAAAGAGCCACCTAACTCCAAGTGCCGGTGCCCGTCACCTGTCCCAGATGAGGAGCAGTGTGATCTGACAGGGAAACTCATCCTCCTGCCACACGCTTGGCAGTCTCCAGGTTCCCCCGGGGAGCATGTCGGGATGTTTACAGGCTTCGTGACCCTCTAGCAGAACAGCTGTGCTCTTGTCTTCTGTTACCTTGAAGAAAAGGAAAGAGGGAGAGGTTACTGCAGGCGGCAGGGATGGGACCGGCGAGGCGCACGCTCCGGCTTCCCTCTAAATATAGCCAGGAATGCTCCGGCTCCAGCTGGCTCGGCAGGCAGGAACAGTGGCAGCTACGGCTTTGGAAGAAAGTTAACAAACCCAACGTAAGAGCGGGAGTTTTCTCCAAGAGAGACGCGATATGAATTTCAGTGATGACAATAAATCTTCAGGCTCGGGCTTAAAGACTTGAAGTCTCCGTTCGGGGTGGGTTACTGCAGGTTAATCTGCCACGAGTCCCTACAGAGAGCGCCACGTGAAGAACATCTGCCTCCACTTTTCAAACACGATCTGTAAAACAGGATTATTTTCCCCTTGAGAGCAAGCTGCACAGAAGCTTTTCTAAGTACTGCAACTGCTCATCGACTGCTGCAGTCTGTGTCTTGAGCACTTGCAGGTACCTGGAAAAGACGGGTGTGAGCAAGCTGTGCCACCTCTGCCCGAGCCTCCAGAGGCAAGAAACACCCCGCTCCCCTCGGAACTCCACCCCACACTGCTGCTCCTGTGCTATGGAAGCAACTGTGTGCTGAGGGAGCACCACAGAGCCCCTGGGACAGCCAGTGCCCCCGAGGATCCCGCACTGCTGCCCGGCCACGCAGCCGTCCGGAGCTGGCTGAATGCACTGGATCCCACGGAGCAGATCGTGACTGGGCAGCCTTCGGGCAACGAGAGCACGCAAGATGATCGTTGTGAACCCAGAAGTGCAAACTCAAATGCTCCAAATCACAGAGCCCCAAAGGTGACAAAGCTTCCCACCCCTGACATGTCACAGGGCTCCCACCTGGCACCTCGCCCAATATCAGCTGCTAAGAGTAAGGGCAGGTGACGGGCTTGAAATTCCTGGAGATCGATGTGTGCATTGAAAAAAAACGTAGGAAAGAGAGAAGTCCTCCTCTGCACCCCTGCATGCAAGAGGTACTTGTGCTGGCCCTGTAAGTCTGGTTATGGAGAGGAAGCCTTGAAAGAGTTCCAAGGCAGGATCCACTGGTGTTCAAGATCATGTAAAGCAACCACAAGACAGGTGAAATGACTTGGAGATACAGAAATGAGTGAGAAGACAGCAAAGACATCTACACTTACACTTTCCAACTGCAAAAGTATCACAGCACCACACTTCAAACGCAATTCAGTTTGAGCCAGCTCTGACACACGTCCGCCCCAAATCAACTAACGTGGCCGAGTCGGGACCACAGGACACACGCACTCAGATCTGTGTTCCTGACAAACAGGATTACTGCTAGGAAGCAAAAGATGAAAGACCTTTAAAAACCCCTCGCAGCTGAGATTTGTGCCTTCCAAACACAGAGCACAATAACCCCAGAACACCGACACCAAACACAGGAAGATGATCACATTTCCAACGCTGTGCACACGCAGCAGCAGCTCTGCTGCAGGCACAGAACCAAAAGCGACACGGATTTTCCCAGACTCAGCATCCAGAACGATCTTCAGCATTGCCCACACAACTGAGACTTCAAAGAGCTGATTCAGTACACTGTTAACATCTGCCCTAAAACGTGTATCCCACGGAAGGACTGCAATCAGGTTTCATAAACTCCTCCAGTGTTTAGCAGAATCACCCCACTCCTACGAAACAGGGATGTTTCATGACAAGGCTTGTTACCTGTAGTCGAGAGAGTCTAAATTTATACTCAGTCTTGCAGGAGAATCTATTCAACTGCCTTCTGATGAATGTCGTGATTTTCAAGAGCACATAAACTCACTTGCAGGCTTATTATCTTAGACCTGCCCAAGCCTCAGTGAGCTCCATGGACTTGGCAGAAAAACCCTCAAAGGGTTTTTGCAAAAAGTAGACCCTCGAGAGACAGATTACAGACTGAGAATATTTGGTCTAAACAGGAAAAATAGCACTTCCTTGCTGAGGAGGTTTTATTCTCTGCAATATTCACCCCGAAGGAAGGAAGCACCACCACAGAAGCGTGACGCCGACCAGCGTCCCTGGGAAGGCTCCTGGCAGTGGCTGCCTGGGGACAACGACCTGAGGAGCAACTCCCAACCCAAACCATTCCATGACTTTCAACACGTGTTCAGCAGAAGAAACATAGCAACAGTCACTCATATGTCCTCGCTTTACTGCTCAAAAACTTCAGAGATTTCTGTTAAAAAAAGATGGAGCAGGAGCTTAAATGGTATGTTCTGGACATTGCTGTAGCCTTGACACACGACTGAGCAACGAACACGGAACAGGCCGACTGACTCAGGACAACATGATCCAGCAGCCCGTGCGCTAAGCTGCATGTCAGAAGGAAAGCCAGGAAAGCTCTCCTGAAGCCAAGCACTTATTCATAATGAAAAAAATGAAGTTTTGGATCAAATAAAGCCATTCAAAAATTCAGATTTAACAGCTGCAGCAGAGTGCAGAAAGCTGATTTCTCTTCCGACATTAGTGCATCCCGGCTGCGCTGCACGTCCTGGCAGGTTGGGAACCAAGGGCAGCAAGAAGCCTGCTCGTCTTCTCTACCCAAGCGGCTTATTTTGAGGAATATTTTCTAACCATAATGCCATTAACTCAGGCCGTAACTGAGCATTGTCAAACCAGTCTTCCTTCCCTGGTGGGGGCAGGGCTGGGGCGGGCGAGGGTTACTGGATCGCATCCAGGACCCCTGTCCCCGACCTGCTGGATGGGGTTTTGGAACTGACTCTCACTCCCAAGGCATCGGTGTCCCGCTGACTCAAAGAGGCTGGCACTTGTGTTCTTCAACCTGAATTCGACTCTATCATGCAAGCATCTCTATGAAAAAATCCTGTGTCAGGTTCAAGGATTTTCTGCTTTTAGAAAGGCTTGGTTTCTGCACAAAGAAAAGGTTCAAGTTATTGGCTTGAATCAAAATAGAACAAGTCATCACTCATAAGGGAAGTTAAACCAGTAATTTTGCTACAACTCACTTCTTCAGCTGCAGAGAGCACACAGAAAATACGCTTTATAAAGAAAACAAGTCTGTCTGATCCTACAATCTCACACAGATTAAACAGGAACTGGTACGTCAGTTAAAAGCATTCCCTCCTTCAGAAATTAATCAACTTAATGAAAAAAAGCCTTCATTACAAAAGCACCCAGCTCCTCCCTCCCAGAGACACGAACACCCAGCGAGCACGGGGCAACGACGCAGCCGACGCGGGGCAGCTGACGGGGCAGAGGATGCCCCAGGAGAAGCCCGGGAGCACTCTCCAACTGACTGAAGAGCTGGAGAGGGGGTGCAGGCACTGCAGGTACGAAGAGCACAAGCATGCCAGATGTCGAGGAATTAAGCCCCGTCTGTCATTGGTGCCGGACACGAGAAGCCTATTTCAGATGTACGTAATCTCGAGATGCGCCAGTTCACAAACCAGCTAATGCAAAGCCCACGTATTCTGTAAAGGTACGCGGAGAGCGCAAGACAGATGCGTTAAGCAGGTTTAAAAAAATAAACTAGGCCCCAGCTCATCCCCACGTAGCTCACAGGACCCAGGCAGGCAGCCTCCCTCAGCCTGTGACGAGGCAGGAGCCCAGGTCTGTTACCCTGCCCACACGCTCCCGTTCACCTTGGTCCCAGTGGCAGTGCTGGGCACTCACGGAAAAAACCAAACACATATGAAGGCTGAAAAACAAGTTTGTGAGTTTTTCAACAGTTAAGAGCCTTCATAGCAATTTCTAGGTTCAAAGTCCTACCTTTCACACCTAAGCATTAAAATATCTGTGTCACCCCGCTGTGTCACTGGCCTCACGAGCCAAGCGGCTGTGCCATCAACAAGGCACGGCTACCGCACGGAGATCTTGCTCATTCCTCTCCTTCAGAGTAACAAACACTCTTCTCCACTCAGAGCTAGACCCCAAGTTGCCAAAACCTCTCTATTCCTTCGCAGCCGGAAGTCACCTTTCCATAGGTGCAACTCAGAGGGGCTCCACGCTTTGCGAATACGTGCTTACCCGCAAAAGAAGCGGGACGAACTCCTGAGCCTTGCCCAGAGGGCAGGAGGACTCCCCTAGTAAGGGCTTTTCCCCTTGGGACCTGTAGCCTTTCCAGTTTAAAAACTGAATGAGTAAACAAATGCGATTCAGGAAAAGCTACAGAAATTTCAATTTAATTGGCAGGAGTTTTCAAAGAAGCAAGTTTCCAGCCTCTCTGTCCAGACAGCTCTCCTCACCCGACAGGCCCAGCCAGTGCCTCGGCCTGGGGGGCAGCACTGGGGAGGGGGCTGCTCCACCAGCCTAAAGCTCCAGCAGGGCTTGGAGACCCCCGGACCGGGGAGCAGCCCGCTGTGTCTCACAGGGAGCTGTTAAGCCCTCGGGTCGATACAAATCTCCTTCGGCAGCTGAGGTTACAGCTCGCGTAAGCAGATCGCGCTCTTGGGCATCCGCGCAGCTCGTGTGCAGTTAGAAATAGCACAATGCAGAGCCTGCTGGCACCTCCAGAAAACATTTTTTAGGGGCAACAGATGGCAGGAGCAAGGAGCAGCAGCGTGCATCCAAACGTCCGCAAGCGCAGCCGCGGTGGCCACGAGCCCAAGCACTGCAGGCAGCTCGGCAGGGCCACGCCAGACGTGCAGCTCCAGCCACCGAGCGCCGGGCACGCAGACATGCGATGCAGTCTGTTCTGGACTCGTTCTCCTACTTTGTATTAGTATGCAGAGACGCTGACTCCAAGCTGTTTGGAGGAACGCTGAGAAACAGTAATTAACTTGGATGCTTGGTTTTAGTCAACTGAACCAGCCAGAAACCACGCCAAGAAAAATCCGAGGCATTCATCTTCTGGGCTGAAACATTCCATGTAACCAGGCAGGTGTTTTTAAAAATGTAGCTATCGCAGCAATCACCACCACAACTTTATAGGAAGTTATAGAACCGTTTGTGCCACTGGCAGAGCAGAAGAGAGAGAAGAGGTAAAAGGAAAAAGAAAAGTGATTTATGTCGCTTCATAAGCTGCTGGCAAGCAGTACTGGCTGCATGCACATACAAAGCCCTGAACATCTCTGAAGGTGAAGTCATAACCCAACGTTCCAAATTTTACGTTAGAGCTTACTATATATAGCAAGCGTGCAATAAGCTTTGATTTTGCTCTGCATAGTAGCTGTCTGCTTCTGGTGGCGAATGGCTGAACATACTGATACCGAGGGTCTATCAAGCTAATAGCAGTAAAATCAAAATCCTCAAAAGTCAGTATTCTCAAGTCTAACCATGCCCCAGCTTCAGGGTAGAGGGGATAAAGAGACGGAGGAAGAATAAAGGGTTTTCCAGATTGATAAAGGAAATGAATATACACACTGTAAACTTGCTTCATGCAGAGAGGCACCAGAAAACCTACAAGCAGCTCTTATCAGAAATGTCACCGCAGGTGAGGGCCGTGGGCAGGGAGGGGAGATCCCTGGCGAGGGGCCATGCACGAGGAGCACGGGCAGAACACACCAGGTGATGTGGAAGGCGTTTGACCTGAGGAATTTGAAGGTTATGCAGCTCTAAGTTTAAATATGACATTACCATGGAAGTGGACAGAAAGCAAAATGCAAAAGCACAAGAGATTTTTCTTATTCCCAGGAAAAAAGTCAAAGCCAGAGCACCAAAGCCACCAGGTGTGGCTCCTCCAGTGAGCCGGGGCGGGGGGAGCTGGCTCCAAGTGCCCGGGCAGCTCCAGGCCCCACACACCTGAAAACCCTGCAAAGCACCACAAGAAAAAAGATGCCGAGTAGGTATTTTTCTCCTGGCACTACTCTAACCCAAGAGGGCCTTACAGATTTGAGTTCTACAGGCTGCTAGTTGCCTCTTGTCTTTCCAGAAACCTTGTTTTACTTGCCCGCTAAAGACAGGATTTAAAAGAGTACTTCCTTAACAAAAACTGACAAGGAAAGAAGAGTAAGGTGAAAGTTATCATACTCGCTTTGCCAACCCAAACGAAGTTATAAAGAATTTAATCCAACTGCTTCCAGTTTTATAGGCATCCATGAATTCCCTGAATTCACAGAATCACGGGATGGTTGGGGTCGGAAGGGAGCTCTGGAGATCACCCAGTGCTACCCCCTGCCAGAGGAGGGTCACCCAGAGCAGATCCCACAGGAACACGTCCAGGCAGGTTGGAAATTCTCCAGAGACAGAGACCCCACACCCTCTCTGGGCAGCCTGAGCCAGGGCTCTGGCACCCGCACAGCACAGTACTTCCTTGTGTTTAGGCTGAATCTCCTGTTTCCCAGTTTGTGCCCGTTGCCCCTTGTCCTGTCACTGGGCACCACTGGAAGAGTCTGTCCCTGTCCTCCTGACACCCCCCTCTGGAGATTTATAGGCACTGATGGGATCCCCCCTCAGCCTCCTCTTCTCCAGGCTGACCAGCCCCAGCTCCCTGCGCCCTTCTGCGGGTGGGAGATGCTCCCGCCCCCTCAGCACCTCTGTCCCTGTGCTGGGCTCTCTCCAGCAGTTCCTTGTCCTTTCTGAACTGGGGAACCCAGAATTATTGTTTGCACGTGTTTTTTTCCAGCAATTACCCTCCACGCTTTGCTGAACAGCATCACGTGCCAGCAAGTTCCATGACAGAAAGTATCTGGAGCGCTGAGTGCCCGCCGTGCCCGGGATCAGCCCGAGAGGGCTCCTCTCGCGTGCTCGCTCGGTCACACAGCCCTCGCGCAGCTGCCGGGGAAGTCACAGCACAACAGATTGTGCAGCGGCAACGTGCAGCATCACGTCAGAGCCCTGCTCTTAGAAGCCACCTCACCAGATGCGAGGCTGCGCTGCCTGGAAAAGGGTCTAAGCTTTCAGATTTTTAACTGTAGCTGAAGCGTTGTCGCAGTCCTGGGACGCCGGAATTGCAAACATCAGTGAGAAACTTAAGTTACACCCTTGAAGAAAGAACAGTTGATGAGCAACGGATGGAAACTTTTCAGTTCTGACTTGGGGAAATTCAAGGAAAGCACTAAAATTCAACCCTCCTGAACGGAGAGAATTAGGTACAGGGCAAGTCACCAACACGATGAGGTGTTTTAGAGGAGATGGACCAGAGCAGTACACACGCTGGTCTGATAGGGAGTTGTCGCAGGTTAGGGCTGGGCCGGCCACTAACATGGACAGAGACTAAACTGGAAAGTAAAAAATCACTAAACAGGACTGGGATTTTAGCTAAACCCAGGACAGGAGTCTAAGCAAACGCAACATGCGGAGCAGGCGAAGTTGGTTTGCTCTGCTCTTCTAGTTCTGAGCAACTGCAGTTGCTTCTCCAACTCTCGCTGTCACCTCCAGCGGGCAGGCTGTGCCGGCGGCTCACCGCGGGCACACAGGGGGCAGAAAACCACCCTCAGGACAGCAGCGGGAGGAACGGGGACACAGCGGCACACGGGGAGCACACCCACACCCGCGCACAGGCTTGCCCGAGGGGCTCAGAGGGAAAGAAGCATCTCTGGTCCAGTCCAGGCCATCCCTTCGCTTCCTTATTGTCCACACGCTCTCCTTTACATCCTCTCTCAGACCTGCCCCTTCTGCTCCACACCCACAGCTCGGATACCCACCACGTCTGCAACACCCTCGTCTCCTCCGGAACAGGTGCTGCTTCTCCTTCTCCATCGGACAGGAGCGATGGATTTCCACCATGATCGTTTCACCAGCAAGGATGGTGTATCCTGGGTGCCAGGTTTACTTATACTCCAGATCCAGCTAATAGGAATTTGAGCCCAGTCCAAACGCTGTTGATATAATAAAGTCTTTAGCCCAAGTCAAAGCGGCGTTTGGAGGGGCAAGATGAAGGATGAAGCTGAAATGCTGCGCCTGCACTTACACACTTCTCCTTACTCAGGTGTCCAGTCCTCCAGACACCTTGGCCACGCAGGATGAACACACCATGCTCTGATTAATCACTGCAGCCAGGCTAGCTGAGATGGAATAACAAGCAAACAAATGGTGAAGCCCCATGACAGAGGGTACCAAAAAATAATTAAAAAATCATTTTTCCCCCTCAGGGACTACATGAGCTCTGGCCATCACAGCCCCACCGCACGCAGCAGCTCAGGTAAGAGCAGTACTGCTCTGTGTACACTCTGCCCTCCCAGCACGAAAAAGCAGAAATTTAGGGGACAACGTAATGAACCACACTGTATAAAGCAAGACCTTTGACAAGAAGACTCTCCCTAACGATTAGTTACGGTTTTCAGACAAAAAGCTGACCCCTCCCCTTGCTGAGCAGTCCCGCCGATGAGGTCTGTCTAGCCAGCGATGCCTGGAAGGGTGTGAAACAATTCCAGACCTTATTCAAGTGGCCTCCCGTGGACTCCAGTGAGGGCAGTGCTGTAGGCAGCACCAACTAAAATTACAGACGGTTATTTTTACTCTTGGTCACACCACATCCTGTATTTTTAGGTACCAAATTTTCATCCTGGGCAAAGTTTTGACCACTGGATGAGAAAGTGAGCCCCATCTCTCTCCATGGTTGCAACCGGTGAAAGCAAAAGTCTCAGCTCCCACATTCATGTTTCCACCTTCTATCCTCAAACAAAGAGGTTGCAGGTGAAGCCCAAAAGAATTTAATTTGGTGATCCAGGTCATTCCTCAGCAACGCACCAACATTTCAGACACGAGCCAAACCTCAAGTGCTGCGAGAAATATCAAAATACTGTTCCCCAGTATCTCCATAAAGGTAAAGACAGTTTTTGGTGCAATCATTTTGAAGAGCTATGAAGAAAGCGCCTTCATAAAAAATCAGTGCCAGAGGGGTCAGAGAAGCTGCAGGGGAGCAAAGGGCCTCCAAGGGCCCCTAACTGTCATGGGTAACAGCACCCACACATGATAAATACAATCACAACTCCAAGAAGAGTTTTAGTTCTTTAAACTAAAAGATATATCACAGAAACTGAAGTCTAGGAGCCCTCCAGCCACACACAACTGCTTTTGACTTGCCACATCCCAGCTGCAAACAGAAGTAACCCAGGACGAATGTCACCAGCTCTTGGCCCAAACGACGCTCGCTCCCTCACGCAGCCAGTTGCCTTGTGCCTCCTCGGGAGCAGGGGCTCCCACTTCCCATGGTCCCCCCCCAAGACTTGGAACCAGAGGTTCCGATCACCTCTGAAATTACCACCGCCAACTAACAGCCAGGCATTTACCTTTAACAATCGTCAACCTCGGTTTTTATGGAAAAACAAATGCAAACAGTAGATTAAAAATCAGAAGGAGGGTTTTTGTGGGAAGCATTAGCCCGGCGAGCACTCACCTGATACTGGAGGCCGAGTTATGTCTCAAACTGCGTTAAGAGATCTCGTATTTCTGGAGTCAGATGCTCTACCGCCTTGGCGGCTTCTGTGATAGCTTTCCGATACATCCCTTTCTTCTTGCGATTAAATCTCAGTTTGAAAAATTCAGAGAAAGGAGAGAGTTTTGAAACAGATAAGAATGAAGTCGTTGGAGAACCAAACCACGATACTTTAGCTTCTCGCCATGAAGGTTCCCCGTTTTCCTTCTGGCTAAGGTTTATGTCAAGAACACGTGCTGGCCACCACGGAAAACCATGAATTTTGCCCCAAACAATGTCCCCCACTGAAACAGTTCGTCCGTCTTCCGTGACACATTTAGACACGCTTTGGGTATGCAGTCTAACCGTCAGTGGCGGCACAATTTTACGCTCATCTTTTGAAGATGAAGAGACGGATGCGTCATCACCAGGCAAAAAGTCACACATTTCTGGTGATGTTACCTCTGAGCTAGAAGACTTGGACTCATCTAGACTGTCATTACTACACACTGATAAACTAGAAGAATCTGCTTTTCTTTTACGGTAATTCATAAGGAAAGCCAAGTTATCGTGTCCATCTTTACCTTGGGGAAATCTTTTAAAGTCATCGTCTTCACCCGAACTCCCTGAAGATATCTCCGCTAAACTTCTGTCTGCAGACTCATCGTTGTAAAACGCGCCAGGATTGGACTCCCTGCTGTTCTGAAGGACGTTTATCTCGTCGATAAGTTCCGCCTTATAAATGGAAACGTTCTGCCCGTCGTTCATGCGATGGCATCTTTACCTTGGGGAAATCTTTTAAAGTCATCGTCTTCACCCGAACTCCCTGAAGATATCTCCGCTAAACTTCTGTCTGCAGACTCATCGTTGTAAAACGCGCCAGGATTGGACTCCCTGCTGTTCTGAAGGACGTTTATCTCGTCGATAAGTTCCGCCTTATAAATGGAAACGTTCTGCCCGTCGTTCATGCGAGGGGGCTTCAGCCGTATCTTTGGGGGCGGGACATCCGTGCTGGGATGCACTGGCCGCGTGAGCTTCAGTTTTGGAATGGAAGCGAGCTGGCTGCCTGCTGACTTGTCCATTAAACATTTGGTTTCTCGACATCGTTCAGGGTCTCTGGTCTCCTCTTGGTCCTCCCCTCCGTTCTGCAACACACGCTCTGGACAAAACGGTTTGACTGAGCCATGAACCCGGGAAGGGATCTTCACAACTTCACCCTTCCCTTGCGGAGTGCTGTAGGATATTTTTATAACAGGCGTCCGATGCACCAGTTCCCCAGAAAACTTGTCATCCTCCCTCTTTTCTCTTTTGTTCCGCTTCTCCGCGTAGTCAGCATCGCCATGCTTCTTCTGCTCTTTGTCCTGGATGCTCAGCTTCCTCCTGGTTTTCGCATTCTGCC